GTTTATCTGTTAAAACTATATATAGTTTAGAAACACAGGGCTTCCTTTAAAAGTATATTTATATATAAAATAGATATAGCTATATAGATATTTTTTTCAAGGATGCCCTGCGTGGCCAGCCCTATGCATTGCAAACCCAGGAGCCAGCCAGGCTGCACCCCACACGAAGCAGCACAATGGTCACCGCATGGTCACTGCCGAGACATTTGGGGCTCCTTCCCTTTGCCCCCGTGGTCTTGGCCCTCGGGGCACCCGCTCTTCACCCTTGGTAAGCTTTTCGTCACCTGCCGAAGAGCTAAAAATGGATTTTTACTCAACTCCCTGGGGCTGGTGCAGTGACACCAGCAGGTGAGGTGGTGGGACAAAATGCAGCGTGGTTCACAGTCGGATCAGGAGGGTGTGAGGGCTAGCACCACAACTCAGTGTGTTGCTGCTTCTCAGGCCCCTGCCACACAGTATATTCCCTGATGGGCTGGTCGATCACACAGCTGATTTAGATAGGCGGCCACATGCGTAAAAGTCATTTTCACGCCATGTGAATGTCCAGACGGCTATAAAACGAGCCAAGCCATTACAAAGTTAGTGCTTGAACATGTGTAACAACTTCATAGCTGGTTTCTATGCAGCTTTAGTTTGAATATGTTTCAGGGCCCAACCACTACCACTTCACCATGGCCACTTCCAATAAATGAATGTGAGGTAGCCCCCACACAGAGCAGTTAGGTGGGAGACCTAGAAGAACTGGGAGGCCCCATGTAAGAAGAAGAGCAGCAGCACGGCATAGTAGCAGAGACCTCCGTATCGGTGTTTTCTCCCCACGTATCAGAGGCCTCTACGTGCATTTGTGTGCCTTGAGAGACCACCAGTGAGACCTATTCGTCTAATTCATCTGTTTGCATCGCAGGAGATTGGTCTCTCTGGGAAACCCTTTCTGTCACCACTGCTGTCAAGCTTTCTACCTCAATGTCTCCTACACTGGCAGGAGGAGCCAGGATACACTCTCTCACGCATGCCCCATGCTGCCTGCTGATGCAGTTAGCCCACCAACCATCATCTTGCCTATAGCAACAACCTCTACTCCAAACAGCAGTAGCAGGCAGCTTCTACTACCACCCGTGATGGCAGCAGTGGAGTTGTCTCTCTGCAGGCTCTGTTACTGATGCAGAGCTATTTTTAACTTGGGCGATGTTGGAAAGAAACTTAATTTTATTTTAAAATGAGAGCTTACGTTCTGCAAAGTTGATGACTTGCGCTGGATAAATTCATACAGCGCAGGGGAATGGAGTTTTCAGGCACTGGAGAAGCATACGGATTGAATTATACTTTCCCATCAGAGTGTTTGAGAATTGGAAAATTAATAAAGCAATTTTTCCATTGCAAAGAACTTTGAAAGACCACAACAGCTGAGAGTGTTTTTGACACTGTAGATTCCTATTTCCAATCTCTGAGTTTATCTTGTTAATCATATGTAGGTGTTTGCACACTTAAGACTGCATCACCCGTATAAGGATGTCATGGTACCCTGGTTCAGAATACTGCTCTTGCCATACAGCGTCTACAGTAGCAGTGGCTGTGAGCTGCCAACTTAGTCATGCTTCCTACCTAAATAACTCCGAATGTGCCTGAGCACAAGGACATCTAATGGCTTTTTGTTTAATATCCTAAATAAGCCTGAAACTTTGCCCCCCTGAGATTACTGTTTTCAAATGCTTGGTACCCAGACAGCTCAGAAGGCTTGGTTGCAACATGCAAACTTTCCAGAAGATCTCATGCGCTAAATCTCATTTTGGGCTGTGCAGCAAGTCATTTTGCCTGCACATATAATTGAAAATTCCAGCTTTGAAATTTATATGCCTCCCATTAAATAATGACCCCCAAACCATCTCATTGAATGATAGGTAAAATGTATAGCAAGATACTAATTTTTATATCAATCTTATTTTTTCAGTTTGTTTCCTTCAAGCCTAGCCCTGCCAATTTTGCTAGCAGACCATTATTTATAACTGATGTTCCTTTGGGGAAAAACTAGTCTTTACAGAAAAGCTGGCACTTCAGGGGGAAAAAAAGCCCTTCATTTATGATCCAAGCCAACTTTAATAAGTGCAAACTACTGTCTGTTTGAGATTTATGCACTGAGAGCTACACTTCATTTGGAAAATTTGCATTTGTCCCATATTCATTCAAGCTAGGAGGCACCAAATAAGTTACACGATTTTTCTTGACTGTATAATCCGTCTGGCAGCAATTTGTTTCATCAACTTGGTTATAGTACAGTTTTAAAGATTTTACCCCGACAGGCAATTTTGTGATGAGGGCCTGTGGAAACATATATGGATTTTTTGATCTTAAGAAGGGATTGTCATTTGCATAATGTCTGAGAAGCTAAAAATATTACATACTGCTGCCTTTTCACTGGAACTCATTTTGGGTTGTTTTCTTTTCCACAGCAAGTTGGGGTGAAAAGGTACAAATAGATCTTTAATTTGTTTTCTTTTACATTAACAATGTTTCCAAGCATCAGGGCATCCTTTAAAAAAATATCTATAGATCTATATCTATTTTATATATAGATATACTTTTAAAGGATGCCCTGTGTGGCTAAACTATATATATATGTATATATATATGTAAAGGATATCTATATTTCTATGATATATTTCTATTTCATATTTCTATGTTAAGGAAGCTAATACTTTTATTAGAGCCTAAGTAATGTGTGTCACTGGCATTATAAAAAAAACACATTAATTTTAATCCCAAAACACACCTCTTTAAGAAGTGGAAAACAAATACAGAGCATAATGTTATATGGATGAAACTAGTCTCCCTCCAGTCATGTAAACACTATAATTGGACAGAGAATTTTTTCTGAAACCTGTGCTAGCTAAATTTTATTTCGAAGTATATCCCAAGCATCCTAACCAATAACATAATTTTATGACACATTTGCCACACACATTAGGGTAACTATGCTACTAATAATCAGGTAAACAGTTCCAGATGTTGTGTGACATTTCAGTGACACGTAGTCAACCAGTCTGTTGTGCTCTATAGAATTTATCATGGATAGTGCATGACTTCTATCTCAATCGTGAATATGATGTTCAAAACCTTTTATTGCAAAGCTCGCACTGAGAAGGATATTAATCCTTTACATCAGTCTATAAGCCACGAAAGAAATGCACACAATGCTCTCCTGACAAAGGTGGAATCAGCCTCACATCTGAAAAAAATTCTTACTGACTTTAGTAGGCTTTGGATCAAGTTAATACCAGACTTGCATTCCTTATGTAGAGGTTTAGGACTAATGGACCTGCTTTAATGGGACTTAAAGGGTCTGCAGAGCTGCAGAGCTGAACCTTTCAGTATGCCTGGCTTTAGATTATTTATGTTCCTAACACAATCTGCTGTGCATCTCCTCAGCTGCATGATTCTTAGTTTTGTCTGCTTACATTTGGGCTTTTTTTAATAATCAAACGTCAATTTGCATTTTGGGCACAAAGTTTCATAAATTCAGATTATGTAAAACAAGTACCGAAATGCATCATTTCCTCCAGATTTATTTCACTTTAAAGTAAAAGTTTAGAAGGAAAAACAACTGAAATTCAGCTAAAATCCATCTGGTGGAGTTGTGCTATAAGTTTTAAACTGTCTGCATTTCTCAAGGCTCTTAAAGCTGCCGTTATCTACCCTTGTTCCTACTGTGTTCATGACAACAGGTGAAATCAGGTTTGTCATCCTGGTACTTTTATATACTCTGTATTAAATTCAGAGTAGAGTTTTTCAAACTCCACAAACTTTTTAAAAAGTGCACTTAGAAAGGATTTGGGAGTAGAACTGCCTGAGCCGTATAGCAAGATTGGTTTCCAAGACTTTGTGATCACCTGTATGCTGGTTTTGATTAGCAATCTCTGAGATTTGCTTTGAGTTTCAGTTTCAAACCAAACAAAGGACCAATTTAGCTGTGGAATAAATGGGTGCAGATTCAAATGGAGCCAAGTTCTAACCAGATTTTGAAACATATTACCAGTATGGCTTTGGGTAAATTAGGATTTAACCCTCCATTGCCTCCATTGACTTAACCTACACAGGAAGGATGCAGAGACCCATGAGGAAATAAGGAAATAGCTGTGTTAGGTTTCCCAAGGTTAAAAGATCAGTGGGGGAATGCCCAGGAACAAAATAAAACCTGTAAAACATTATTTCAGCTAGCCCCTCTCATCCCCCTTTGTTCCAATTCTGTAAACATTCAGATGTAATACTATTACATTGTAATTGTAGTATTACTATTACAATTCAATTGTAGCATTATGAATATTTGCAGCACGCAAATTTCAAAAGGCAAAAATCTCATAATCATTTGTTGGATATGAACTTTTAAGTTTGCCTTAGAAAGGCATGTGTACTCATTCATTCAGAGATTATTAAGAATGGTTTATGACCAATCGCTCATTGAGAAGCTGAAATATTTAGAAAAATGATCAGTTGTGAATTATCCAATTATGAGTTATAAATGTAATGTCCAGTACTGAACCTGGCACACCTGAACCTCCCTCAAAACATGCTTTCATTTAGGTACTGTGCAGCCATGTGGAATGAGATGAAGGTGCAGAAACCAATTTACCAGAAGAATAATGAGCATGCTGGATTTTTGATCCCATCAGGTCCTTTTCAAGAAAGCCCAAATTGCTACAAAGTTATTTATTATT